CAGCTCGTCCTCGAATTTTCGATGACAACACTGACCAAAACGGCCAGCAGTTGTCTATCGGTCAATTAAGCAAATAAAGCAAGTGAGTTTTGCATCCGTGGTAGGACCCAGGTTCGATCTCCGGGTCGGGCGATTGCCAAAATTTATTTATTTTTTTGTTGTTTTGAATTTTATTTATATATGTACATTAGACTACGCTTTATTTTGCAACTTTGTCCTACAAAGCAAGACACCCCCAGAAATGTTCATTTGGAATTTTTCCCAAAGGGGTCAACGTTGCTTATAAGTCAGTGGAAAGTTTCATATATTTTAATGGCACTTGATGTAGTTTTGTCCCCCGATGTCAAAAATTGCTAGAATATGTTTAAACCTCCCCAAATTTAAAAGTTTTTGAGGTTTTTCCCACGATAATTACAATTTTCTATGTTTTGAGAAGTTTATTTTTACCCCAATAAACTTAGATCAGAGGGGTACGAAAAAAAATTGTAGTATCGGTATTTTGATGCAGTTTTCTTTCATTTGACACGTATACCATGGATCTACATTTCATATAGGAAGATTCCGCCATCTTGAATTTTAGTTTTTTTTTTGCGATTTGCAAGCGTATTTTGCAATTTTCAAAAAAAATTTCGGTTGAGTACAAATTTGTAGAGAATTAAACTTCCCAAATTGTTTATATATGTATAGGTTAGGTTAGGTTAAGTGGGCGGCTCTGAAAAGAGTTCACTCGGAGGCCACAAAGGTCCATTGCGATGCCCAGGGGGGTTTCCCAATGCCTTCCCTGCATGTTTTTGAACCATTTCGATTCTCTGGCGAATCCGAGCAGTCCCTCCAGTGGAGCTTTCCCTAAGGTATCCAGGCTCTCGAATAAATGGTCCCCAAGAAACTTGAGGCGCGTTCTTCGGAGTGCTGGACATTCACAAAGGAAGTGCTGGACGGATTCTACCTCCTCCTCATCTCAACAGCTTCTACAGAAATCGTTATGCGGTGCTCCGAATCTGGTGGCCATGTGGCCGATGGTCATTTCCTGGGACACCATTGTGTCCCGGGACCCAGTAAAGGTTGATTATGTATTGCTGTAGAACTTGTAGGGATCTTCGGCATTCCTTAACGCATATCGGAGAATTTCCCAACGACCAAAATGACTAAGTCATCCGCCTAGGCAACGACCTTGACGGCTTTCGATATGCGAAGCAGGAATTCGTTAAGTACGAGGTTCCACAGCAGGGGAGATAACAACCTCCCTTGAAGTGTGCCACGTGTGGCCGTTTTCCTTACTTCTGCTGTTCCCAGGGAGCCATTGATGCTTCTGGTGCTCAACATATTGTCGATCCAGAGAGTGGTCAGTGGGTCCAGTCCTACGACCGCCATGGAGCAGTTTATGGATGCCAAATTAACATTGTTAAAGGCGCCTTCCACGTCCAGAAAGGCTGCCAGTGCGTATTCTTTGTGGGACGTATGTATAAGCCTAAAAAAAAAAATCATTTTTTTATTGTAAATAATTCGCAAAAAGTGCGAACAATTTTTACATTGCCACGGTTTTCGCCATTTTTCAAAAAACTCAAATTTCATTTTTCAAATTTCTATTCAAATACGTAGCATAATAACTTTTGTTCGAACATTATTTTTGTGCGACGCTTAGCTCGCGGCCGGAAACGTGCTAGAAGGGAAGCGGCGTGAAATTCATGTCCACATCACGTCAACTGGTACAGTTCGTTGGCCAAAATTCTATAGGACGATTTACAAAAATTAAGGTCTTAAAATGATCGCATAAATAAATGTCCCCCATTGAAAACACTGTGGCCCTCTGAAAAATTCAATATGGCGTCTCAAATATGGCATCTAAACTAACCTTAAAGTAGATTTTCCTTTACAACTTTTGAGCCACCAGAGAACCCAACACTAAAAGAGAAAATTCTATGTGTCAAATAGAAGTACACGGCATAAAAAGTTCGCTACTACAAATTCTTTTACTTCGTACCAATTTTATTTAATTTTACTGGGTTGAAATTTAACTTTTCGGATCCTATAAAAATGTAATTTTACGTGAGAAAAACCTCAATAACTTTAAAAGTTGGCAAGGTTTAAAAATGTTATAGCCATATTTGACATCGGGGACAAAACTACCTCAAGCTCCATTAAAACACATTAAATTTCTCACTTACTTATAGGACGACATCCGTTTTTTTAATACATATATAAAGTTTTCATAGTGTTTTAACTGTTTTGGAAACACATTAAAACCAGGTTTTACAAACGGTTGTATCGCATTGTCTGAGAAAAATTAATAAACACTTTAGGGAGCTATGTATTATGGAGAAAAAGCAAAATTTCCACAAAAAATGGGTTTTGGGTACTTTCAGAACACGTTGCCTAAAGATCTTTTATTTATCAAATTTGTCAGGAAATTAACTTAAAAAAAACGCATGGTCCAGAAAAATTAGTTGGCAGATTTTTCAGCAACGCTCATATGTACATATGTATGTATCTTCACCACTCAAACCTTTTAGAATATTTGAAAAATTAAATAATTGTCAAAGATGTTGAGAACATTTTCAAGTAATGCTCGCAAAACTTATATGTATGCACATGTACGTACGTATGTATCTATGTATGTGTGTACATATTTACCCTGCAAAAAACGGGACTAATCCGGGATGACTCGCAAAGGAAGATGCGACTAATACCACTTTTGATCTCTTTACATGGAATGAATTGTTCACCTTTATACCCGAACGGGTATAAAAAGCGACTAGTCACTTTTAAAAAATAAAAATAAAAATTTGCACCCGCTGAGATTCGAACCGGGTTGCTCAGTTTGGTCGAATACTCTCTCTGTGTGCCAACGCCGCACATGAAATTTCATTGACTAAGTGCGTACATATCATTAAATCATTAATAGTACCCGTTAGAGAAGAGTTGGGGACTAATTGACCTCCAATTCTACCCTTAAGGGATGAGTCGAGACTAATTGACCTCCATTAGTACCCGTATGAGACTAGTTGCGACTACTTAATGCCCAATCGTACCCGATTGAGAGTAATCTCGGAATATCATCTTTAAAGATTAGTCGCACAATTTTATGTAGGGTACTTGCATATATACGTATAAACATGTCTACAACAACAACAGAAAAGGAGTTAACAACGCAATTTCAACAGTTCAGCGCTAAAGTCAACGCTTACCGACAACAATGACGGCAACGCAAACACAATATCCCACGCACACGCATATCTCGGAACTTGTAGCCACTCAGCGACATCAACGCCAAAGGCACATCATTAATAAAGAAAAAACAACAACAACACTCAATGCACAGCGAAAGGACAATGGCGTTGCATTCGCTATGGAGTGAAACTCTGAAGCAGACTTGCACCAATTACACTCAATATATGCTTTAAAGAAGCAACAAAAACAGCAATAACATTGCATATAAGCAATAAATAGGAACGTGTTGGAAATTAAATGAAACATAAGCCACTCAATTGGACGAGAAAGGGCGAAATTTGAGTAGGTAAAATTAAGTTGTAAAAAATTGAGCGTCGAAAGCTGTTTTGAAAACACAGCAAAAGCAGAAGCGAAGTGAAAAGCAACAATGTTTAAAAACCGCAACGAAAGCGTTTACACTTCATAAAGGCAATGAAAGTCAGAAAAACCATACAGGAGAAAAAAAACTTAAAAAGAGTCTCAGATTCACTAGACTCTCGCCACTCGCACGCGCGCGCTGCAAAAGGAGGTACATATCAGACTGAAGCCCAACAAACCAGTCTGGGAGCTAAAATATAATAATAAGCTGATACTATGTATGGCTGTAGGTATGTGTGCATATAAACTGCACTGCGAACGAATGAGAAGCAAACATTCCGCACGCAACGCGCCGACATTTTTAATTGTGAATGAATTATGACATACGGCCGAGCAATCACCACCCGACGTAACCATCACACCAAAATTATGCGCCATTACTGCGTGCAACTGTAGCAACAACTCATAGCTCACTTCGGTGAACTCAAGAGAGAGCACATACAAATAACGTTTAACACTGCCGCAATGTTGCCAGCTTTTCCACGCCAAATGCTTTATGTTTGTTGTTATTCTTCCCTTTGAGGCACAGCCCACTCACGCGCCAACAACACTTGTTTGCCCTTTATTGAGCTGCGGCGCTCTCAAACGACTTACATTGGGTTGTGGTTGGAGGATGTGAGGCAAATGGGCAATCGAAAAAAAAAAAACAGTATGTGCAACACCAACAACAAATTCACACAAACGACCGGCTCTCAAATCGCGCAAGTTGGCTATAGAACGCTCTCGCTCTGACTTGCTGATAGCTGCGTGCGCACTACTTTCCTTGCGCACAGCTTTGCTCGATTGCTCTTAACTTTGTTGGCTGCCGAATGCGCTCTGCCTTCCAGTAGCAACCGCTATAATTATCCAACCACTAAATTCAAATTGGATTTTTTCCAATTGCAGAGCGGTTGTAAAGCGCTCTCTCGTAAACCCTTGCTAACTGTTGTCGCCCGCCATAGTTGCAGCAGTCGCACTGCTCGTACCAACATCTTGCCGCAATATACGACGCCTGCTGCGCTCTTCCAACCAACCAGCACATTGTTGTTGCAAAGAGGCAAGTGTTGTTGTTGGTGCCGCCACGTACAATGCTTGCATGTTGCTGCGCACATACTTCCTTCCTCTTCCCACTTACAATTTTTCAAAAACAATTTTTCCCTCCATTGCTGTTTTTTCGATCGCTCTTATTAACGCTAACTCTGAGCCACTGACTGGTTGTTTTTGTTGCTTTTTTTCTTGATATTTTTACACTTGTGTATAAGCGTGTGTGCGCTTAACTTTGTGCATGCGTGTGTTTGTTGCGTTCTCAACCTACCAGATACACTGCTCAAACTAGTTTCCACAACGTCTGCCACCGCTCGCCACAGCAAACAACACCAACAACGCTGTGCTTTAGCTGTCTGCCTGTCTGACTGCTGTTGGCAAGTTGTGCACCTTTCCTTGCCGCAGCAAGCAGTCAGTTCGTCGTCGTTTGCCTTTCGTTGTGCACATGCCCGTTTTCGTCGCTCGTCATTTGTATGTCGTGTGTTCGCCGTCGCCGTTAACAAAGCGTTTTTCTCACACATTCTTGTTTGGTAGCAGGAAAATTGTGTACTTAACGGCAAATAGTTGTGAAAGAAACCAACTGAAGAGTAGTAGTCGAGCGCGTTTTCAAGAAGTGTTCACCAAGGGACGAAGAGAATATGTTAAACGCAACAATAAAAACAAACACAACAGTGGCAAGACAGTTAACAAATAACTAAACTAAATTAACAAAAATTCAAAGCAAAAAATAAATAAAAAATAACGAAGTGCAACAACAAATTACTTATAGTTTTAAATTCCACCACATAAAGTCGTCTTAATACATTTTTTCCTAAATAAAAATATGTGCCGATGCTTAGAGAAACAAGTGCTGCATTAGTGTTATTTTAAATTTCGGAAAAAAAGAAAACAGAAACAACTCCCTTTTCGGCAGTCGCTTATAGCGTTAAATAGCCAAAATTAATTTTTCTCACCCATCATACGCCCAGGCTGCCAAAATGCTTGTTGGCTCACATCCGTATCTGTGCAATGGCGTACTGCCGTCTACGGTGCCCAATGCGGCTGCTGCTGCTGCTGCTGCCGCCGCCGCTGCGGCTGCCGCGGCTGTTGCAAATTCGAATGGCAACAATCCAAATCAGACTCAAACAATGGCGGGTAGTAAAAATGCCGCCGGCTCTGCGACAGATTTCTCAATAGCTGCGATAATGGCCAGGGAAGATGCCTCCAGCCGGGAGTCCTCCATACGCAGTGCAAGTAAGTAAATGTGTGATTAAAATGTAGATAAATGTATTTAAGTGGAAAGATAGAAGGAAAAGGAATATGGGAAGCCTACGTACATACGTGACTACACACATATGTAAGACCTTATATATCTGTGGCAATTAGCTTTGAGATTTTTAGAGGAAGGAAACTAACGCAAACGCGAGTGTTTGTCATTTTATGATAATCGAATATCCAATTGTTGATCAGATTTGTAAAAATCTTCGTGATATCTTCCTGGTCAGATCAACGTGAGTACCTTCAAATGTAGAACATAATGCCTTTGGCGCCTCAGTCGGCTTAAGCGGCTATTGCATGGGTCCGCAGATATGCAGACAATTTCAACAGAAGTTATTGCTTCATTGATTTGCAAAATTACTTTGACTTATTCTTTAGCTTGCTGTTAAAAAAGCGCAAAAGGGTTTCAATGCGTTAAGTTGGAAATGAATGTGGCCCAGATGAAAATTAAAGCTTTGTAGTGTATTCAAAATAAGCCAGGCGTACATAAGTTTTGAATCAAGGCGAATCTATACAAGGTGGTATTACCGGAGCCGCTGATTTCACCTTACCTTTTGTCAAAATGATGTGTTTGTTGTAATTTTGTTTTGTACGGATTGTCAGTGGCGTATAATTTGTTGCTGTAGTTTTTGTTTTGGTTCTGCCAACACCACCTTGTGTACATTCGCCTTGCTTTGAATTTTTTCTTTTCTAAAAAGTGAAATGAAACGTTAATTTTTATACGAGTAAATCGCACCAGAGATATAAGTTCTGAATTTAGATATGAGAAAATACCGACGGCTTTTTATTTTGAACCTGCCTTTATTTTGAAATACTAGTTCAAAATATAGATATCAGTTTATAATAATTCGCATAGAGCCGAACCAGTGCGGTATCAATGTACATACATTCAACTTCGGCCAGAAATCTTCGAAGCTCCTGAAGAGATAGCAACGAAAATAAATGACAAATAAGCAACCAACAAACGACCCAGCTCCTGGCTGGTATTTCTACTTTGGAAATTTAAATATCTTGCAAAATAGTGAAGTTAGTGCACTGCATCGTTTTGCCTTTGGCTAAGCAATCGCAATCAGAAATGCAAGACTTTTCCGAGGCTCTGAAATTTGTGGAAGGTTCTATTCAGCAATTTCAAGAGATGCGACAAGATGCAGCAAGTCATTTGCACACAGTACGACATTGATATGGAGAAACTACGCCAAATAAATAAATATAAAGACGATGCCGGGAGCAACGGTGATTACTATAGAATTGAACTCTGAATTCCATTCATCCATACGAATAATACTCATCTTCGGAATTATTTTATGAAAAAATCTGTTTTTGAAAATTTTGATGTTTGGTTCTCCTAAAATTAGTACAACTTCGATAAGCGCAATAAAATTTATGAACCTTATGAAAGTGATCTGAATTATTCCGAAAATAAGTTTGAATTGTGTGTTGAAATATGGAAAAGAGGAGCGGTAGGTCAGAATTTCAAAACCGTGTTTGATGCACTTAACGTAAGCGTAATTTCGACATTCAATTACCATATATTTGAGAGATATTTCTTAATTATTTGAGTTTTTTTAGATAATCAATCAAAATGATAGTAATGCGAATACCCCACCCGTAAATCCGCCACTGAGCGGAACATTATTAAGGGCCAAATTCACAGATTTTTGCACTGACATATCATTTGTATGCAGTCTTTGTTAATTTTTCTAATCGCGATCGCGCCTGATCAGACAATGGCAGAATATCATGAAAGAAACGTCTTACTTGTAATTTTTGCAGGCAATTTAACTAATTAAATTTAAAATCAGCACTTCGAAGCAAAGCAAGATTGTATGTCTATACTTCAATAATTTGTGAAGTCCTCCTGATAGTATTACAAGGAGAGCCGGTCTGAGCTCACAATTCTTAATTTGCGATCATGGCAAAACTCATGCGGCCATACAAAAGGGAGTTGAACCCAACTTTAAGCTTCGCCCAAATCGGGAAGAATGCCCTCGGGGCGTCCGAAACAAGGCAATGACTTAGACAAGGCGGGTTAAATTTCGTGCCACTTCGTCAACGTCTTATGGGCTGTTTTTGCTTTAGCTCTAAATGCTACTCTAAATGTACATTTATCCATACAAAATTCGTCACCTAAATGCAACTCCATTTTTGCATTAAGAATCTAAATGCTAAAAGCAACCCTGTGATCTTCCAAAATTTCCACGATTCGAACATGGTTTAATGAGAAAATGTGGCAACATTGCTTTTTCGCGTATGCAGTTGCTAGCTGCGTTTCAGTGATCGCCGATCGAGATTTCATTTATTATTTTATATTATTTGGAAAAGGAAAAGTTGCACGAATTCAACATCGATATGAAACTGATAGATATCCGGCTCAATTAGTGATCAACTCTGTGCGTTTTTTTTTCTATTTAATTAAGGATATTTCAATTGACAGCACCGACAAATGAAAATATACACAAACAAATNAAAGGAAAAGTTGCACGAATTCAACATCGATATGAAACTGATAGATATCCGGCTCAATTAGTGATCAACTCTGTGCGTTTTTTTTTCTATTTAATTAAGGATATTTCAATTGACAGCACCGACAAATGAAAATATACACAAACAAATTTTCGGGTATGCTTAAAACAATTCAAGTTTTTGTATTGAACTTTTTGTTTAAAATTTCTTTTTCCCTTTTCAGTAGGGGTTTTTGCATATTATCTTCTCTGTGCGAATTGATCGTGATAGATACGGATCTGAATAAGCGACAGGAACACGGCCGTTTGTCAAAAGCATACGGTTTCGAAATGTACATTTGCTAAATGCGATAGCATGAACACTCTTCGAAAAAATATGTTCGAAAGTGCTAAATGTTGCATTTTAAATGCAGCTAAAACGTTGCATTAGTTACGCCTGTATATATAGCAAGAGAACGAAGCGCTAAAGTTATTTTCTGTTTTGTTTTAGGAAAAGACATCGAAATCCAAACTCTAAAATCGTTAGGGAAGCACAATAATCCAAATTAAAACTCGTACCATCTAAGTAACGAATCTCTACAGTCCGATATTTCGTAGCGAGGCAGATTTAAGTACTGCTACCTATCGGCATCGATAAACTTAAGACCCAACATCGCAGCGAGTCTTTTCTCAGCTTTGGCTCATAACGACAAACGATTGCCCTAAAATACCAATAGATGAGTGGAACTTTCCTTAAAAATGTATTTCAATTACCAAAAAGAATATGTCAGCATTTATTCGATATGGCAATTTGGATGCAGTTTGGTTCATTTAAACGAGTGCATCGACATTTCATTTATTATAAATATAACATTAGTACAAAAATATCCCAGTGACGATATTTTTTCATTCGAAACTACGGTATTGATTTTTGGACGAACTGCTTTTGGTATATGTTTGTAGACGTTTTTTGATTACTTGGCAATAGAAAAATCGAATACTTACTAACCACAGTGCCACACTAAGTGAATTGCGATAATCCTTTTTCTCAAGAGTGGCCCAATATTAGTTTACTTTAGTTCCAATGATTGGATAAAAAAAACGCGGACTGTAACATTACTCAACTCATTATTGGCTCAAATTGCTTTTCAAAAACCGCTGAAACCTGCTAGAATACAAATTTCTGATACTTGTTTTCTTGCACACGGTGGGCAGGAAGCGAAGATAGGTTGCATAAAAATGTCGATCTGAAAGCATAACGTCGTTTAAAGTACAAAACCGGTATCGGGTCTAAACCTGAACACTTTGCTGCCAAAAAAGATATTTGCTCACCGAAGCACCTGGCACCAAGCCCTTCTCCATTCATACTAAAATTCGATACTTAGACAAAGGAAAAGAGTAATTAGGGAAAAAAGAGAGAACCGTTTTGCAATAAGACAAGATTTTACTCCTTCTATAAAATTTTGGCAACCTCTCATACAAAGATTTTGAATTTTCTTGTACGCGGTTTTGTACTCTAAACGACGATAAGTATGTGGCACTATTTAATATATGCTAAAAATATATTGTACATCTTCTTCTTAGCTTAAGGATGGAACTCAAGAAATACATATTAATTGGACTGATAAAATTAATTTTGAGGCTCATATTTACAAAAATTACCACTTTTGCTTGCTCTATGTCATTTAGTACTATACTTACTCTTCAAAATGCACTTTCGAGTAGTGCTTTACGATTTTTCCTTCAGAAACTATGACCATCGGAAGATGACGTAATGAGTTAGAAAGCATATGCTTGGTATGGCGATGTTATATTCGAAGACACGGCAGTTAAAGTGGCCGCAACTCTTGAACGAAAAATCTTACACAGTGCATTTTAAAGAATAACAAGTAAGGAAGTAAAAGTTCTGGCGAAAGCGAATTTTATAAACCCGGCGCAGGTATCAAATATCGTCGTTTCAACTTTCTTTCAACTACATTTGCATGATAAGCAGGGGTGGTTTTCTCGATTTCAAACGTTTTCGCTGATATGCTGAATTAATGAAATCATTGAACTAAGTTTGCTAGGAATCGGTAAAGGGGTTAACGAGATAGACCTTTGTAGTCACAAAGTGGGTGGTGCAACGCCCAATTCCTAAAAGTCTATAACAGTCTTATTTATTGTTGAGAGACTGTTGTAAGTATTAGTTTGGAGCACATTAGTGTCCTCAGTGATTGAAATATCGGTGTTTTCGTATTTTTGAAATTTACCGTTATACAGGAAGGGGGAGTAATTTTAGTCCGATTAGAATAATTTTCAACAAATTGCTTTTCCGTACCAAGGTTATAAGATGCTCTAATTTTGGTTCAATTTGATGAATTGGTTACCGCGATACACATTTGTGGTCATAAGTGGGCGGCGCCATGCCCATTATCCAAAAATTTATCATAATCAAATTTCCTGCTAGGTGATTATTACAATCGTCGATTTTGAGTGAATCAGCTTCAATAATTACTGATTTATTGCAGTTTTCGTGTTTCTGTAAATGACCGTTAT